GGGATGTGCAACACAGAGAAGACAAGTAGTGATTCTACAGCATCTTACTACACTGATGGACAGTGACTGTAATGGGGTTTGTGGGGGGGACTTGGTGAAGGGGAGAGTCTAGTAAACAATGTTCTTCATGTAATTGTAGATTAATGATAACAAAATGAATAAAAATAAAATAAAATAAAAAAATAACTCATACTAAGCAGGTATGAGTGCTTAGCCATTACACTTAAAATGTACTGAATTCAGTCTGAACAAAGATTGGGAGGGGCAGAAAGATAATATCAACTTGAAGGTTTTCATGTTTTAGTAAAAGATTCTACTTGTGGCTATTAGTGCTTATTCCTACCACATTCAGCACCACAGTGACATACATGCAATAAAATGACTAGTGAAATTTTTGGCAAAATATTCACCTTGTCATTGTGAGGATGGTAACATTCAAAAAAGAGACTATGTAAATACATTAAGATCTCATGCTTTCATTCCATATCAACTGACACTACCCTTTAAAGGAAACCACAAGAATCTCCTTTACAAAGCAAAATTAAGTAGAAACTAGCTGCATGATGTGGAAATGCCCCATATGCAATGTTTAAATATAATAGTAAATATACTAAAATTACAAATAAGAATGTAACTTCTAATTTTCAAAGGGTGAAAGTAATCAATACATGCTCTAAGTTTTAGCATATCAATGGCTTTTCCTTCTAAGTAAAATGATGATATAACTAATCAATTTGATACAATTTTAATACTAATTTATCAATTTACACAATGAATGGTGTAATGAATATTTAACTCAAATACAACCCTATGCCTCGCTATTCCCCACTTTCCAAATCTGTGAACAGTTTAAAATCAGTTAAAGAGCCAAAATATGACTTCTTAAAGAGCTCACAACCACCAAGAAACTAATGTCCTTAAAAAAATACATTCATCTGATGCCTAGTAGATGCCTAATTTGTTATCTCCTTAATTTATACTTGTTAGGCAGAAAGATGTAAAGACCTAATGCAAACCATTTGCTCCCTAATATGCAATAGAAAATTACAAATTTATTAAAGTTTACATCATACTAATTTCCACTTTTTATGATTACCTAGAAATTAATAAACCAACCAGTTCATTTTGTTACTAAACATGGTTGCTTTCAGGTCATGAAAACTATCTTATAGTACATCTGTTCTTTCTGTGACTTAGTGGACTGTGAGAAATTTAAAGAGATGAGACCTACCTAATATTTCTGTTTTAACTCCTCACAACTCCCAGGATATTGCTATAAACTCTCTGTGAACATCAAGAATTAATTAAACATTAACTATGTTCAAATACTGGCTCTGCCACTTGCTGGCTGTGTGCTCACAGAAAAATTAACCTCTCCAAGCTTGAATTGCCTCATCTGGTATACAGGCACCAGCTGTTAATAACAGACCCTACTCTATTAGACTATTGTGAGGATTAAGATTAACTACCAAAGCACCTAGCAGAATGCCTGTTGCACAACAGCATTTAATAAATGTTTCCTGCTGTTATTATTATTGGGCACTGCAGGCTTTTTCTTTCAATGAATATCCACAAATACACTTAGGGAGTTCAGCACTTTTAATCCATTTTTCCTATTTTAGGTAGGGGAAAAGGAGAAGTGCAATATGCAACCTTCCAAGGCAAGAGGCAAAAGAGGTAGCATCCCAAATCTGAAAAGGAGGGCCTTTCTGAAGGGTGGAGCCCCCAAGGCAGGGTAAGCAGAGTACACAGATACCTACAAGCAGTGACTTCAGGCAAGACAGGTTAAGAAATTCATATTTGGAAAAAAACTTTCATATTATTTTATATTTTCTCTTTCCACAAGTTTTAGTTCATTTTGTAAATTTCACTATGTCTAACTTGGACTAAGAAGAATAGGAAAAAGATTTTGTTTTGCTCATGAGCAAGCCAAAGACTCTGCTCTTAAAACCAAAACACAGTGACTTCAATTGAGGAAAAAAGGAAATTATAAGGAGGTGACATTTTTGGTACAAGCAAATCTAAGTAAAACTTCAAAGAAAACTTCAGAATACACTAAAGAACATATAATGGGGGTGTTACTCCTACAAGAATATTTTCACTGAAAGAGCAATTACAAAAAAGTGGTCAAATGCAAACTAAATTCAACTCCTGGTGGGGGAATAGGGAGTGAGAAACAAAATCCAACACACACGGCTTCATTTTGAAAGAAAGCAGATCAAAAAGGAAAAAGTGATCCCCCAAAAATTGTAAAATTTGTAAAAACAGAAATTGTAAATTATCACACAGTTGAGTCTAAAATCTATTTTTAAAAACCTTGTAAGAAGTGCAAAATAAACTACTGAAATTACAGAATCTTAACTAAAACAAAGAGATTAATGCCTTCATATTTTACATTTAAGAAAAAGGCCTTTAAAGGTAAGGCACATGACGCTGAGGCAGTGACAAAACAGGAGCAGAATCTAGGTTTCCTGCCCTTTCCTCCACACTCAAGTATGTATTAAGGAACTGTAATACCAGGCACAAAAGAAAAAAGACAGAAAAACTAATTTGCTAAATTGATAGTTACTTGGAGGCAAAAATAAAAAATGTTTACTCAAGGGTGAACAGAAAAACCCATGAAATATATGTCAATAGTATAATACAAATTCTCATATAAATGAAAAGAAAGGATTTGAGACACAATATTCAAAATGATTTATTTAGTTTAATTTACATATGTGAAAAGAAGGAAAATCATTTGAAAAATCATAAGGACCTCTAGATACACACTGTGCTCAGTTTGCTCAAAGACAAGAAGGAGCAGGAAAGAGCCAGGCAATTTCATAAGAGGGTTGGTGGAGCATTGGGCTTAGGTATCCGGACTGAGTAATCAGGACTGAAGTAAGCCTTGCTTCCCACAGCATACTTTTCCTTTTCCTCTCTGTCTCCTCAGTGTTTCCTCATCCCGTTTTTTTGTCCTGATAAATCCTTTCTTGCTCTCCTCTTCCCCAGATGTTTCTCCATTCTGATCATCCTTTAAATGATCACGCTAAGGAACAGAACTAGAGGCAGTCTATTCTAACGAACCGTTTTTCTAAGAGTAATTTCCAATGGTCATTTCTAAGTCAATTGTTCAAAATTCAAACCCCATATAACCATGGAAATAATGCCCCTGCAAAACTGTACATTTATATCAGATGTCTTCTAGTGCATACCACATCCTCTTATCTGTAACTCTTAACCCCAAACAGCTCTGAAAACTGGAAGACTTCTGTAAGTTTGCAGCAACTTCATTTGGCAGCAAAGCCTGATGAAAGGGACATGAAGCTATTTCTAGGCTTTATTTACTTTAGTGTGAATATTCATACATTTTATCGCAGAAATATTAATGTGTTTAAATGTGATGGCTATACCATATTAAGAGTATTCCATAACATATTGCAGAAATACAGCACTACATTTCTAAAATCTGAAAACTGAATCTTAAAACATATTTGGTCCATATTTGGTTTTTAGATAAGGGATTAGCACTCTTTTATTTTCAAGTGCAGTCTTTTACCTATCCAAGGGACTGTACTATGGGTGTGCTCCAGAACCTCCCACTGTTCCAGCACTGGCCTTAGGGATATTCAAAATGCATTCACCTAGACGAAATCCCCTGTCTCAGTCATTAACGTATCACTGTGGTGGGTACTCATATCCAAGATATTCCTATATCAGCTACTTTCATCTTAGGACCTTCCTACTATTTAATTATTAATATATTACTTAATAAAGTTTTGTTTTCTCTCTTCTTAACCTAAACACTGGTAAACTGGAATTGTATCTTTTTTTTCCCCCTCTGTGGTTCTCAACAGTTTGGCAATACCTAGAAGAGTTTTGGTTTTCTCAATCGGGAATGGCAGTGTTGCTACTGGGTAAAGACTAGGTATGGTGCCAAACAGTCTCCAGTGCACAAAGGCACCCTCCACACTAAGGAGCTGATCCAGTGCAAAATGTCAGTGCTCAGAGCCAATACTGAGAACCCCTCCTGTATACCAATCCCACCATCCTTCCTCCCCAAATTAAATGGCTCCATAGAATTTTAGAGTTCTTCCATTTGGCTGGCTTAGATAACTTATCCCCCTACCGATCAGTGAGCCTTAAAAATATATATATAGTTTCCTCCGGTTCCATTTTATTTAATCACTTCTAATCATCAGATTCTTGAGTTAGCAGGAAAGAAAACAGTGAACATTTGTTGTAAAGTACAGTACAGTAACAGTAAAAGATAAATTCTGCAAATAATTGTACTTATTATCTTTAGTCCATCCAGTGTTAAAAAACACAAGAGACTTAGTTGCTATGCAAAATATTTTTCTCAAGCAATCAACTTCAACTTTCATGCTATTTTTTCTTACATCTTTAAATTTACTTTTTTTTTTCTTTTTGCCCCTAGAGAACATAAAAAGGGGGGATAGGAGGAGGAAAAGGAAAGAGCTGATACAGATATGAATCAGCTTATCTAGATGTAAAATAATTAAGGATGTGAACCCAAAACAGTAACAAATATTTAAATGTAGTCAGAAATATTTCTCTTTTTTTGGTAAATAATTTTTTTGAATAAGAAAACCTATCAGCTTACCCTTTACTTTTAGAGACCAAACCAAGAGACTGACTCAATCGATGAATAAAGGCTCTTTCAGTACTGGTAAATGAAGAAGGAAATTCCATTTCTACATGGGAAAAAACACAAAGTACCATTTAGGGATAGGGAATTTTCTTTCAAGGTACTTCTATATACATACATAGATACAAAATATGAAAAAGTTATACAAGCACATAATCAAATTTATCATATTTTACGTGAAAAGTAGATATTAATTCAACAACTACCAAATGTCTACCAGAGTTATGATATTAATAAAAATTAAACCTAAATGTGATAAAGGGCTGTAATATTCACCAAAGATTACTCTCTTATTTGTGCTGGAATCTTGAGTTGGTATGATTACTGATGAACACATTTTATTATTTTAACTTAGTCCTTACTTGCTTCACAAAATGTTTCCTTCCATGATGAGGTATGCTCAAGCATTACGAATGCTCAACATCAAATTCCATTTCTTTGCCTTCAAAATTATATAGAATTCGTATTTCACTATATTGAATTGGAATTGTTGTTAATAGGTACTGAGGCTTTCTTTACCTTCGCTTAAGGTACTCTGTTCAGGTCATCCCTCCCTGTTTGGCGCCGTAAGCTTCCAGAGTAAGGGATCCCCTATTTAGGCCAGCCAATCGGAATGGGCACTCAATATATTGTACTGCTCAGCACAGGTCAGCTGTATCAGCACTGTGTGCACCCAAGAAGCTTTCTAAGCTTAAGAGGTGTGGAAGACGTTTCATCTACCGTAACAAGTTTAACCTTTTGTGTTAGCGTTGATGCTTCTAGAATTTAAACAAAGCACTACAATGCCAGTGCATCTATTAGTCTGGCTACCTTCCCCTCTTCTACTTCTGTAGCTTAAACGTGCCTGGGTTAGGGCTACCCCAACCTCCTTTAAAAAAAATTTTTTTTAAAAGAGAGGAGGTTAACAATATATAAGAACTGGTGGCTTAGCCTCCCCAACTTGTCAAAAAGCCTCTCCCTAGGGAAAGAAACGCCTCCTGCAAGGGAGCCTACCTGACTCTTCACCTTCTGATTCTAGGTGAGCGCGATCCGCTGGACGCCGAGCTCTACGCAACCCACCCGAGCGCTAACACCCGCGGCCCAGGGCCCACCCCGCCTCTGACGCCGGCTCCAGCGGGCCGGCTGGGCGGCCCAGGTCTTCCCCCCTTCCTCTCAGGCAGCCCCTTCCACGGGTGTCCGGGCTCAGGGGAGGTGAGGCAGCCGGCGGGGTCCCCTTCTTACCTCTCTCATCCCCATATCGGAAGCGCTCCAGAGCGATACTAACTGCGATCTTCACCTCCTCATCTATACGAACGTCCTTCAGCCCCTTGGCCCGGCCTCCGCCCCCAGAGCCACCCAGAGTGGGGACGCCCCCGCCGCCGCCAGCGCT